GTGTACAGAAGAGATAGTATTGCATTTTAAATGAATAATTAAAACATAACTAAGAGAGTTGTGTGGCTTTGTACATTGCTGGCTAAGTGAGCAGTAAGATGTGGAGTGTGAAAGCTCCAAAAAAAAATGACTGGATATTGAATACAGTTTGGGGCTAGATGCATATTAAAATATTAAATTATTTAAATTTAATATTAAAAATGTTTAACCTTTTCAGAATGTCTGAGGATTTTTGTTGTTTTGGTGATATTTATTTGAAGATGCCATTGTTTTCTGAAGAGTTTGAAACATCTTTTGTAAATTAAAAATAATTTCATAACAGGGAATTTGAGAAAGAGTGCTAGTTTTCTATTTAAGATGAAGAGATGGTAAGTTTCTCTGTTCTAATGCTTCTGATTGTAGTGATGATAACAATAAAATGGAATTCAAGTGATGTTAATSTAATACTTCTGTAATGAGTATATAACTATGCCACTTCCATAGACAGCAATTAAATTAGACTTCGTAGTAAGATGATTATGTCTAAAACTGTGTTATATTATTACAAATTTCAAACATAAATTCAGAATTTCATTGTTTTTCTTAAGAACTGAGGATAATTATGAAGTTTATAGAAGAAGGACATTTGAATTTTTCTACTGCTTTTCTATTGGTTTCTAAGAGAAGTTGCTGGGAACCTCTGAGAGTTTTTAAAATGGTTTTCATGGTACAGTTAATGCTAAACAAATCAGAATTTATGACAATATGTTTTGAATCAAAATAATTCTGGTGGCGAAAGGTAACATAGATATGGTGTAGATTTTTTTATGCAAAAAAGAACTTGTAATTTTTTCTTCCTATGGAGTATACCTGCTTGACACTTCGGCTGTGAGAAACTAACTTGAGGATTAATGTGATGTATAAAACCTATATTCATAAATGTACACATTTCATGTGGAAAATTGAAGTAAATTTCTTTTTCCTGGCTTTRTGATGGTAATACATTACAGGATTTCAGCTTGATAATTTACCTAATCTGTGAACAAGTATTCTAAGATTCTTTACATGAGCACAAATTGATACAGAAATATAATTTTCAAGTCCTRTGTTCACACTGAATTACATAAATAATTAATTAGACTCACTGCGGCTAAAGTTTCATTCTTTTTGTGAGGTATCAGCCAATGTTTCTTTTTTCACTCCAGAAAAATGTCATCAGATACTGTGTTTCCATAGAGAACTATAAAGCTTGCAGACAGTGCCTTTTTTAACTACTTAGTGTCCAGGAAGTACTGGAGAAAAAAACCCCGAAGTATTCAGTTTTCAGGTTCCTTTTAGGTTGTGGTTAACTTCCTTAAACACATTTTGATGGATCAAAGCAGTGTAATTGGACAATACAAGCATAAGTAAAAAATTAAAAATTGCAATTTAAACCTACAGTTTTAAAGATCAAATGTGCCATATGTGTTTTACCCTGAAGATGCTGGGCAGTTAATCTGTCCTATTAAAAGGAAACTGTCACTGTCCTCTGTTGCAAATTATTCCATGACTGGCATTCAGTCAAATTTCCTGCTCAGAGCAGTGTGGATACTGAATTCAGGCAAAGTTGCTTAGGACAGCCTTCTCCAATAATAAAGCACTCATTCTCATAGTTCATTCAGTGGTCCCATGGTCTTTACTTGCTTTCTGACCTGTCTTCTTTTTATGTCTTTTCATCACTTTCCAACTTGTTCTGTGTATCCGTGTTGATGTAACAATTTCTTTGTAACTCACCCTGATTTCCTCACTGAACACATTAACCTGTGTCACTGTTTTTGCTGCACTCTCACTGGTCCATGTTCTGGTGATTTGCAGTTCCCTCTTTCTGCTTTTTCTGCCGCTGTCTCTGTGTTTGRAATGTGTTAGGACTGGAAGTCTTTGAAGAATGAAGATTTTGTGTTCTGGGCCCAGTCTCCAGTCTCATTTGGGTCAGGATCAATAATACAGAGAAAAGTGGGTGTTTTTCCAATAGCCCCAGACATTCTCAGTTATCCTTATGCAGTCTTGGAAGGGGTGGGAGCATGCCTACTGCCACCAGAACTTCAGGAGATTTTGTCTGCTAAACTTTGATGTCAAAAATTAATATACATGAACTGAGGCTTTTGTCAGATCTCAGAGTATTCCCATGTGTGGGGAGATTCCATGAAAATGGTAAATAGATGCCTGACAAACAATAAATGGGCACCTGACATATGCCAAAGTTCATGACAATTAAAAAGTTTTAAAAAAAATCAGCTGCCTTTCCTCTCTGCTCCAGAATAGAAATCCACTTTACTTCACCTTGTTGCTTCTCTTGATGCAGCAGRATGTCTCATTTGAGGTATTGGCAAGTTCCTCTTCATGGGAAAATTTTCAGGGTTGTAGGCAAAACTTTACATGGTCTCTTCTGGTCAGAAAGAAAARGTGAAGCAAAGATAATTTTCACAGTTTCAGAAAGGTCTGGATGTCCAGCTCAAAACAGAAGTGCAAATTTGTCCAATTCATTTTACATGGTGGGAGCCACACACTTCTTTGGATTTTTCTTTCTTTGTCAKATTTAAAAGACACCTGTATAATAATTTAAGAACAGCATCACAGTCACAAATGTTCCCTGTCATCCTGCAAAACGAATTGAGGAGGTTGTGGAACTGCATGTGTTTCTCAGTCAGTACTTTTACATAGATATATGAGCCCAGATTTACAAAGGGCATATGTCGMATCAGAGAATGATTTCATTTGGAAGGCTCCTGGGAAAGTAATTTGCAGTTCAGTCCTCTGCTCAAAGCAGGGATTACATTGAAGTTGGATTCTATAACTGATCTAGGCAATCTGTTCCAGTGATAAACCCCTCTCATTCTGGATTTTTCCCACCTCATCTTCAATTGGAGTTTTTCTTGTAGTTGTGTCGGACTCTTGCCTCTTGTCCTTTTGTGTTGCATCTCTGAGACTGCAGAGTCTTTTGCCAACTTTTCTTTAATCCCTCTCCTTTTTACATMGTGAAAGATGTTACCGTGTGGCATTATCGTGCTAAAGTGAAGTGCCAACTTCCTGGCAAACAGAATTTGTAAATCTGATAAAGCTACATAAATCTTTATTAAATGGAAAAAAAAAAACCAAAAAACCGAACCCAACCCCCAAGAATGGGATTTATGGTGTTGAGTATAGAGTCTTGCAAAGTTGGCAGGAATAAAGGGATATGTGAAATCCTAGCCTTTATCCAGATAAATGCAGTCCTGTTCAGCTCTGAAAGATGCATGTCTATGTGTTGTGGCCACAAAATCCACTCTTAGCTGTTACTCTCCCTGTTTAGAATGCAGGTTTTTGACCTAACTAAACCTATAGTATTTCTTAATTATCAGCACACTACTAGTAAACCAGTTAACAGATTAATTAATCTGTTATTATGTATCACTAGGAATCACTTACAGTTCTGTAATGCTTTACACTGTTGTTAATTGCATTGTAGTGATTAAGTTCTGTCACATTTTGGCCTATAAATTTCACCCAAATATTGAATTGCAGTTTTATAACCCTTCACTTTAYCCTTCCACGTTACTTAGAAACGAATTTGCAATCTGGTCACTGTTTTAACTTTGCACTTCAGTTTTTTTGGATGTAGACCCAGTGGAGAGTTCACTGGGTTTCCCAAGGGGTTTCCCTCTGACATCCTGCCAGCCTTTATTAGTGAAGCAGCCCAGCTTCATTATAATCTGTGGGCATCCACACTCTTTTCAAGRGGTCTGCCCTCTCTTGTTCTTGAACTGCCTTTATAAGTTGTTAATGATTTCTCACATTTCTGGACCCTTGTTTTTGCTACTCTTCTGTATCTCTTTCTCTACCCATTCTCCTTCCACATGAACAAGCTGCCCTTTAAATACTCTCTTCCCATTGCTTCAATTTGTAACATMCATTTGCAGATATCATATTTCTAAAACCTATTCGCTGGTAATCTTGGTCTTAAATGCTATAATTGATGTTGTTAGGTGCTGATGGATGTCAAAGATTCTACACCTGTCAAAAGATCCCCAGTACTGCCTTTATCTGCTTAATGGCAATTACAATTTCTTTATTTTACATATTCTGTAAGACATGTCTGTTTACTTTGGCCCTTTTCCCTCTGCCTGGTTTTGGTTAAGTATGCTTTATCTCACTTAGCTCTTCCTTGGTTCAAGTGCAAGTGAACATGCATGGTTTTTCTCATTCTGTTTTTTGCTCAATAAATATCCTGCTTGTCAGGGAGCAGCCTGGGCCAGCTGGTCCTTGAGAGGAATCAATTGATGAACATAACAAGGTGAACAGGGCAAGGGCTCAGTCCCTCCCCAGCAGCACTATTTCAGACCTGGCCCTGAGTCCAGGTAACCAAATCTCCATCCCCCTCCAGGAATATGGGGTGTTCTGAGCTCCTTTCCAGTGTCTGTCTCACAGGTGTTCCATCAGAAATCATTGGTTTTGGCAACTTCTGATAATCTCCCCATTTTTCTTCAGAGACTGTCCAATCCTCTTTCAGAACCTCTTGCTTGCAGCATCAGTCCCTCTCAGGTGCTTTTCTGTTCTTTGAAAAGATGATTAAATATTGACTCAGATTTAAATAGTGGGGTTTTAATTATATCTTGCATATATATTTGCATTTTTCAAGGTATTTATTAACGATCAACTCTGATAATACTGCAACTTAATGAACTTTTATGAGGTTTTTAAAAATGTGTTTCTTTCTGTTTCTTTYAGTATCTCCTGAAGCAATTGGATTCCTGTCTGCAGTTGGGGTGTTCATTATTCTCATGTTGCTGCTTTTCCTATATATTAATAAGAAGATGTGTTTTGAAAATGTTAGTGGTTTCCCAGATCTCGATCCAGGATACACTACAAGAAAGAATTCACAAGATAAACTTTGTAAGTATCTGACATACAGTGTACTGAAGTTAWTTATAAGAATGCAGATTTTTAGAAGGATGTAGCAACACAACACTGGCTTTTCCTGTGATTGTGCGGTACTTGGGAAGGAACAAGCCTTTGTATCCACAAGCCACAGAAATTCAACAGCTATATAACCAAAGAGTTTGCATTTACTTGAGGGATATACTTCTCTTGCACTATGAGAATACTCTTGAACTTATTTTAAACTTTTCATAATTTTGTATGATCAAATATTCTCAAGTAAATTTGTGAGTGGAATTACTGGATTTTCACTCAACCTGTTAATATCCTTTGCCATACTTTCAGGGAAGATCTTGCTTTTATTCGCCTGGAAAATGATTTTAAAGAATAACTTTTGTGACATACCTGACTAGCACATTATTGAATATTTTTYAATCCAACAAGGTCTTTAAGGATCATGTGTAATGTAAGTAAGTAATGTAAGACCTTGAAAAAGAGGTTAGCTGAGGGTTGATAAAACAATCTCTTTCTTCTTTTGTGCTGTGAAAATTCAACAAACTTTGTTAGCTGACTTGAGAGAAAGAGGCACCAGAGAACAGAATGTGAAATCAAAGAGACCTTCTTCCCCTCTACCTCTTTAAAAGATGGAGCTAAATTTTTATTTTTAATTTTATAGGAAGCAAAAAATGTTTTCCTCACAGAAATTGTCTGTCGTATTAACTTTATTTTTTTGCTACAAAACAAATCTTGATGTTCCAAAATATCTTACTTTATGTAAAAGACAACAAGTATTTGGGGGTGAAGAAGTCTCTGTGATGTGTGTTGTATTATGTTAGAAGCTTGTTTTAGGTGACGATTGATGAAATTTATAATTTAAATGTCTCGCAACTTCTTCTTCGCAGGTTAGAATTAAAAAAAAAAAAATCCACCTCACACATTTGTCTTGTTTTTGAAAGTAATGAATTTTATTATGGCTAGTTGATGCTGCAGTTGATGAAAGACTATGGTTTTGCTGGTTGATTGTGGCTTCATTTCAAGATATTTATTAGGCTGTTTCCTTATTATTTTTAATGTGTATTGAATGAAAAGAGGAAAGCTGCAACTTCTTCTGATAAATATATTGATTTTTGAGATAGCAAAGGCAAATAGCTCTGAAATTGAACTTGGAGAAACAGAGACGATCAGTTTCTGAAACAGAGGACCTCTCATTATTGAAAGCTGTTGCTGAATAGGCTGCACAAATGGCRTTTTTTCGAAACCTTCAGCAGAATCTGAACCTTCCTTCTGTGTCTTCCCTGGTGGACACRCTCAGCAGTGCTGTGGATGACCTGGCCAGTGTTGTTGGCGAGGTCGGCTACTCTGTAGCTGACTCAGTGACAGAGCAAGTAACAAGCATGATCAATGGCCTGCGGGCAGAAGATGAAAGCTCCAAAACACAAAATGATAAACCTATGGAAGGTAGAGAAGAATACACACCATCATTAACTCATTCTCAGGGAGTTAATATGAAAACAAAGAGAAGTACTGCAGAACATAAAGAGACTCATAATTCTAATTCATTTGATTTTGTAAAAAATGGTACAAGTCAAGTTGGAGTATCTGACCATGTCTTGAACAAAAACCAGTTAAGAGGCACAGATAATAATAATCCTGTCAGTGATACAGAAGTACGTCAGGATTTGAAGACTGTAGGAGGACCTTTTAAAAGGGAAGCAGTAGGGGAAAATGAGTCTTTTGTAAATGATAAGTTCTTGAAGGGTAGTAACCCGAAAAGTAATAAATTTGCAATGGAGCAATCTGTTGAGGAGCAAGGTAATTGTTTATATGCAGTATCAGATAATTCTAAGAATCATGTGCATAAAAAAATCAAACCACAGTCACCTGGAGCTGTTTTTAAGAATTCTGATGAGGTGCACAGTATAAATGTTCCCCAAGATTTAGAAACAAAACTTGTTGAAGTGCAGAAGGAGAAATTGTCAGACTCCAGCTTGAAGAAGATGCACAATGACCATCCCAACTGCCTTAATGAAATCAAACAAAAGAAATCTGAAGCCTTTGCTAGAAAAGGAAAATCCACCTCAAAGGATGAAGGCAATGTGTCAACTACAACTGCGAATGAGGGTAAAAGGAAAAACTCAAAGAAATTAGAAAGAGAGCTATGTAATAAGAAGACAGCAGGAAAAGGTGAGGAGTCTGTCAGCAAACTGCATTCTTCAACCTTTCCTGAAACTTACGATATTTCTTACTTTTTTCACCTAATTTACACATTTAATAATAGTTTTCTGTGAATGAAAGTAAGTTTGTTTGTTTCAATGCTTCATTTTCTAATTATGTTGATATTTCTTGGAAGTTAATTACTTTCCAAAGTATTACTTAAAGGAACTGATTAATAAATGCCTTTTGTATGTTCTAACTTTACTCTTTCTCTATATGGTTTTCCTTGCCTTCTCTGCCTTGTGTGGTTTCTGCTGAAAACTATGAATTAATTAATACTGGAAATTAATATTTGTTCTGTGAAAGTGATTTTTATTTTGTTCCTTTTAAAAGCATTGCATAAGATGTGCTCTGATGATAACTTCTGTTGCATTTACATTACAGTAGATCTTCAGAATATTTTTGGGATATGTAAGATAATGATTTGAAGACAAAATGAGAAATGAGAAACTCAATGAGAAATGGCAATTAAATTATTTTAACTATAGAAAGAAGTGAATGAGGCTTGTCTTAAAGTTGTAGTCTTAAAAGAAAACCYGGGTGGTGTTATGGATACTTTGTGTGCCATCTTTAACATCCAGTCTTACTGTGATAAGGGAATTGCAATAACAGTTTGTGAGTAAGAAGTCAAAAGTTGCAATTTTACATACTTTTGCAGGCTGCATAGAAATTTTCAGAAAGCAACATAGGCTTTTCCAGAGATGCTGATTCTGTAAAGAAATGAAAGATTTCCTAATAGAAACACATTSTTTTTTCTTCATTCTGTGTATTTTTCTTATCTGAAAATTTCAGTTATCTGCTTTGTTGAGTTTTGGTTTGATTTTGTTTGTTTTTGGTTTTTTTTAATTTGAATTAGGAGTGTTTTCCATGTTTGTATGATAAACTATGATCTTGATCTGTTTCTTTACATAATACTATTTGTAAACTATATTCTCTCCAAAATAGCATTTGAGTCCCATAATAAGCAAATAATAGCTTTCAATAGGTTAATAATTGCTCATGACCCATGTCAACCAAATAAAGGAAAGGTTTTACTTAGAACATAAATTCTCTAAGGCAAATTTCAAAAAATGGGATAAAAATCATATGAGGAGTGATAAGGAAAGGCATAAAACCCTGAGATTTTTTTTTTATTTTTTAATCTACAGGAAGCTACTTTTTGCCAAGAAACTGAAACCAATCTGCATTGTTAATTAAATAAAAATATTTTCGTCGATAGCTTATGTTTTAACTTTAAGGAGGTTTTTAAGTGAAGAGGTCTTGCTTCATTGACTTATAGTAATGGTATGCGTTCTTATTCTTTTATGATAAGAGCTGGAGAAAAAAATAAAACCTACTATCACTGAGAACTTCTGGATGCTTACAAAAGTCTGTGTATTATTAGAGACATAACTCTCAACTCTTCTTTCAAACATGTTACTACCATGTTTYATACTGTTCCATTCTTTATGCAGGCTGATTAATGAACCTGATTTCATATTTGTGAATACATTTCTTGTWATGTTAAAGGATGCACCTAATCCTGATGTCTGGCACTGTATTTTAGGCCTGGTATTCTCTGCTTTAATTATACTTGTGGAAATCTGCAGAAGTTTCCTATGGGGCAGGTTTCAACCTCTGGAGGGCCATATGAGATACAARATTTTACTCTTGTCTTACAGCAAAGGAGACTCCTTTTTCTGGGCAGCCTCTGGCAGTGAATTTATTTGCCAGAATATATCCTGCTTGGTGTGATATTTTCAATAAGTGATTGCTGAAACTGAATTTGCTTTATAGCCATCCATAAGCGGGAAGAATCRTATCTGTTAGACTTGAATGAATAAGCTAGAGTTGAAAGATCTAGTTGGTCCTTAGCAGTCTTTTAAGGCACCACTTTCTGTATAAATACTAAATTAGGTTGATGTACACATTGCATATAGAACTGGTAGCCCCACATCCAGTGACAGTTTTCTGACATTTTCCATTCCAAGACCTTATTTTCAGTTTCCTAAATTGTATGCCARATTTGAAAGAATTGTGAAGAAATTAGGCATTCTTTCTGTCTGAGATCCTGTTGTTTGTTTTTTGKTTTTTTTTCTYTCTTAAGTTATGGTTTCTTTAACAGTTTCCAGAAATAGGTTATGGGAAAAATATGCTGGGTATTAGTGCAAAAAAAAAAAAAAAAAAAGTAAATGCTTTGGCAGCTTTGTGTATTGGCATATGTGCTTGAAATGTGGGAGAGCACTTCTCCCATGCCACAGATGCCCATATTCTTCCATGAAAAGACCCCTAAGTTGGACAAAGTTGTAAATTTTTGGAAAGTTTGCTTTTTGAAAAGACATGGTAAACACTTCTTATATTTTGCTTGTTAAATTCACTGACCATCCCATTTGCACTCATATGCTTCATTGTAGGGATTGAAGAACAGAACAGGTCTTACCCTGCTTTGGATACTTACAGTTACTGAAGGACACTGGGACTTTGAACAGAATTGAGAATAAACACTGTTTATCCTCCATGAGGACAGAAACTTCCTGAAGAAACAGGGCATGATGCACATGGTAGATTGGGATTTGAGCTAGGATGGGTGACAGCTATGGAGAGAACTGGTAACTTGATATCAAGGTGGAAAGACTAAGGGTGAAATACCAAGGTTGCATGCATGCATRTTAGGTACAAGTAAAGGGAATTTGGGATTGAATAGCCAAAGAGATAGAAGAAATCACTATAAGCGACCAAAAGTGGGTGCTTGGAGCAAGAACTTGGAGTATGTGGCTGGGGAGCAGGAACTTGGGGTAGGATTCTACTTGTATAAATGTGAATTTCCAAAAGATTTCTTACCTAAACTTRGAGCAAAGGTTTTTCTGTATGAGTACCAGGGAGAAAAAGACCTCTATGGGAAGCAATTCCTAAAASTAGGAAGGATGGTCCCCTGTAGTACTAAGAGGGCAAACACTTGATTCTAAAAGAGGCTTGGATGGCTGACATAGATTGAGTTACTTTAATTTTAACTGGCTGAATTTTGAGTAAGCTGAATCTCTGCTTTAGCAGGAATACCCAGCCAGAGGAGTGAGACTGTCTGGACATGAAGACAGACACTAATGGGAGTGGAAATGTGGAACTACTGCTGAGGCATAAAAGCAGGGAGGAGAGAAGCAGTTGAGTGTGGCTGGATAGCATGTTAGACAACATTCCCTCAGAATCAGRAGCTGAAAAACAGCATTATGGGCATTTCAGAGCTCTGCTGGTAAAGGAAATGCATCAGCAAATCGGGTACCTTAGGTTTGTTCTCGGAGTAGAGGTAATGCTGACTTCTTTTGAGTTTACATGARCTCTTAATGCCTGTTAGAGTCTGAGATCTACAGAACCTCTTCAAGGCATGTTAAATTTGGACAGAATCCATCTGAAGTTTGGAACAGGGAGGAGAAAATTTTCTCTTTACAGAAACAAAAATGTAKCTGAATCTTTAATTCGTGGGAGGAAGTCATGCTTGAGATGTAGCTGGAAAACATTCGCCACAGGAGTGGGCACTACAGAACTGCTATAAAAGAATTAACTAGATAGATTTTCTTCCRTGTAGCTTTTGCTGTTCCCAAATATTTGCAGTAAAAATCTGCAATAATTTCAGTTATTGAACAAGAAGCTGTTTATTGTAAGTTATATAAAATTGTGCATGCAAACATCTTTCACTAGCATTTTCCCATTTGTTATTGAGTTTAAGCACTACTGGCATAAATATTGTAAAGATGATTTTGTAAATCAGTTTCATTTCTATKCTATGCTACATGCTCACAGCAAAAATCAGCTGGGAATGTAGGATCAGGAGCTGCCTGTTAGGTATCCAAATGTAATATTGCAGCAGTGTTCGATTTACTTTGCATAATTTATTTTAAGCATTTTTCTACTTAAGAAGGGCTTCAAGAATGTGTGCCGCCTTACATGAATTGATCTGTTTTCTGTTGAAGTGTTAGAATGGTGTTTTTTGGGCTTAATGGTCTTTCAGGTCTTCTAGAAAATGAAAACAGCTCTTGGCAATTACAAAAATCACAATGCTTGCAATTCCAACAAGGTATTTTAAAAATATTTCAGAGATTTTAATTGAAATGGCTTAAGTATCTTCAATGATAACCTCATATGGTTATTGTCTTGTATTCTATTTTGAGCTGTAGTCGATTTGCTTTATTTTATTCAAACAGACAATTCTTATATGAGTAAAGACCAGCATGGTTCATCATCTGAGAGTGAAGATGAAGCACTGGGTAAATATCATGAGGCCTTGTCTAGAACGCAGAGTTCCAGGCTGCCAGTGGTGGATGGCAGACAGCAAAAAAACTATATATGGGAAACCAGACAAAAATATAGTCCCCTGTCTGCAGAATATGATGGATACAGTAGTGAAGCCTCAATAGATGAAGGTAAGAGTGATTTAAAAGCCTTCCTTTTATTCCAAATTTCAGAATTGTGTTCTGGATAAGTAAGTCCTAGACGAGAGCAGCTTGACTAGCAAATAGTCAATGTCTGCAAAAAATATCCAGACACCTTTTATATTAGTGCATGCTCAAAAAAAAAAAAAAGAAAAACACACACTTGTATACATTCTTCCAGAAATACTACAGATGATAAAATATCTTGTTATATTAAGTTTCATTTAATTTTATCATTATTCATTTAATTTTTGGGGCAATTTAAACTGTTTTGGTTTAGGAAGGAGACATGGCAAGTCTTGTTGAATTTGTGCTAATATACATACAAAAGAGACATTATTCCTGTATTGATAAGCTGTTCTAACAGCAGAGTAATTGGAATTGGCTGTTGGCTACAGTGCATATGGTCATTGTAGTGTGCATTGTTGTAACGTTCTGTATCTTTTTTTTTCTCATAAAATGACAGAAAGAAATTACTGCAAAGATTAGAGTAATGCATTTTTCCATGGTGCTAAAAGAAGGATTTAAACAATGTATGCTTTCTTACATGCTGTGTATTTCTTGATTTTAAGTTTGGGTGATAGCTTGATGTAGAGGCTGAGAATTCTGTTGTCAATATTTTGTCAATATGCTTTTGTATTTGAAAATAGCTTTATGTGAGAACTGTGTCTATAGCCAGTTTCAAGCATGAAAAGTTAGCTTTTGTGGAATTTAGGTAACAATCAGATTCTAATACAGATACTGTGTTATAGTAAGGTATTTTTGGTGTCCCTTTAGTATGTTAAAATGCAGAAGTTTTTTAGTGTTTAATTTTTTCTAATAAAAAGTGGATACATGTAGAGGTAAAAGGTACTTCACCTAAAATGTTCTATTCAGTCCATAAGGGCTTAGAATAAATTTAATTTTCTATAATTTGATATAATTAAATTAGACAAAAATCTGCTGTTGAAATTTGAAATTAGTACATGGTCACCCATGATTCTAGCCTAAGACTTGAAGAACATGAAAGCCATAGTTAAAGTCAGTTGCTGAGTAAAAAGATTCTTTTTTGATCATGAGAAAATTAATTTCCTTCCTTTGCTGTTAAATTGTAGGAAGGCAGGGAGTCTGAGTTCCAGCAGATAGTGAAGGAGAGGTGAGGTCAGGTGGTAAGAACTGATCCTTGAACACTGTGATGGAGAAGGAATAATGATAGTAAAAGTGTGTTTGGTTTTAATACCTACTGAGATCTCTCAACAGTGTTTTTGGGGGGAATATGAAAGATAAGATACTCAGATTTTTTATGGCTTGTGTCATATTGGGAAAGAATGATGATGTACATTAACAGGTGACAGAAAAAATATTAGCAAATAATACCAGATACAAATTTTACAAGAATTGTACCGGGAAACTGCTTTCAGGTGTCTAGAGTAATGTGTTTATCTCTCTGCAAACTATTGAGGCTATTTGATAGCCATAGTAGCCGTAGTAATATGAYATTACTCTTTCTATTTCATAATTTCTCAGATTTTTTGATCCAGTCTAGTTGTCTTCTCAGTGAAAAGTCCTCCGTTCATCTGAGCTTTTTACTTTGGCTCTGTAAGATTTAAACTTCAAAGGCATTGTGCTAGCCTGTATCCATTTCCWTTTTTTAATGATTTTTTTTTTATGATTTATGTTCCTTATCATCCTCCTAAGTCATCAGAATTTATAGTCACTGCTTTTTATCCTGTGGAATGATAGTCTCCAGTCTGGAAATCTGTATCAGGATTACAATCTAAGACAAAAGAACCTTTTTGGCAAGTCCAAGTTGTATCAAGAAAGTTACAGTTCTCACCCCACACTTTGTTTTTTGTTATTCTTCTATTGCTGAATATATCAGTCACCAGGTGCTATTCTTTCTCAATGCTCTCTCCATTCAGGAAGCAGGCTGGAAATAAACCCCATTTTAAAATGTATTGTAATGAAAGAACATTCAGCTTTTGGAAGCAAAAAAAACTTTAAAAAACAAAAGCTGTCAAAAAACTTCTAAAACAAAAGCTATAAAAAATTCTAACTTAAAACTTTAAATTTTTAACCACATACTTCTGCTTGCACAAAAACTCACTAATGTCAATATCACTTTTGCTGCTGCTTATGAAAGCATTCTCTTCCCACATTTTACAAGGAGTGGAGAATCGTCAGTGTTATTTATTTGTCAATCTGCAATCATTCTAAAGTGTATGTTTGGCAAAATGCTTGCAGATCAGAGTGATGAGTTTGTCTTGTTTTAATAATTCAGTATTCTCAACAGAATTCAGTTCAGTACTATTAAAAAAAAGTTTTGGACGTGGAAGCAAATTAACAACTAACATTTTTCACTTCTCAGTTACCTGAAGGTGGCACACTGGAATAATTAGTGTTAAATTACTTCAAACATAAAAGAATCTTTGCCTGTTTTAGAATAGAGGAAGAGACAGGCTTATGTGATGATCATTACAGAGGGAAAGCTGCACAACGTGGAACTTCAATGAAAAGAGGTGAAAACCTCATGAAGAAGTTCTACACTCAGAAATCGATGAGAGATTATTACTACCAAGCCATTCATATGTGTTCAGAGAAACAGTTCACCTAACAGGTGATGTTAAAAATCTCCAATTCCAAGGGGGAAGCATCAGCATTCTAGATATTTCAGTGAGATTTTTAAAAATGCAAAGCTTTACTGTTCCTTAAACTTGGAAAAAAGTATTTAGAACATTTGATGCCATAGGAATGCTGATTTTTTTTTTTTTTTTCTGTCAAATACTTGGTTTTTATGGCTATGGAATTACTTTCACAAAAAAAAAGTGAAGACAGATGATAGAACCATTTCTTGACTCTTTTGTGGAACAAGTGGTGTGTTCTTGTGTACTTTGTTTAATATGAGAAAAAATTGTCAATGCATTTGACGTTATGTACTTCTGTTTTCTCATATGTGCTTTATCATTTCTGCTTCTATGTTTTTAGCATTTTGGCTGCACTTCCATTGTAAGGCACTGATTAGGCCATRTGTTGAGCATATAACACTTGATAGTGTTAAAGGGAAATGGTGAGAGGACAGAATTGAGTTTTGTCTCATCACTGTTTTCCTCGTGTTTGTTGCTAGTAAAGCAGCCCCTAATCATTAAGAATAAGGACAAGGGTGAATGATTTTAAACTGAAATAGAGTAGGCTTAGATTAGATATTAGGAAAAAATTCTGTTCTCTGACAGTCCAGAGYAGGGCCCTGGAACAGATGGTCTGGAGAAAGTGTGGATGGCCCATCCCTGGCAGTGTTCCACGCCAGGCTGGATGGGGCTTAGAGCACCCTGGRCTAGTGGACAGTGTCCCTACATAGGGCAGGCAGGTTGGAATGAGATAGTCTGTAAGGTCCCTTCCAACCCAAACCATTCCATGATTCCATGACTCTATGATTTCCTTTAAAGATAGAATAATATGAGCAATTAATTGATATTTAATTTTCAGAAAATTTGGATTTCTCTGCTGAATTTTCTCTTCAGCAGTTAATCTCTATCAGATGTTGTATTTTGCAACAGTGAGCCGTGTTTTCGAAGGAGTCAATAAACAGTTTTACTGGTAACTTTACTCTGAACTTTTGTCTTCACTTTTAAAATTTGTTTGTTTAGATGTGTCTGTACTTAACTCTGCACACACAAAATTTAAAAAAGAGACAAAAATATAATCTTGTCTTTATTAATACACCCTGTATGCTTTGCTTGCCATGCTAAAAACCTGTATAATATTAATATTTGCATCATTCAGACCATCAAAATGTCTGAAGTTATTATTTTAAGGTTTGCCTCTTATCAATTTCCTAATTAGTTTATTACATMAATTTTCTGTCTGCATGCCTCTAAAAGCATTATATTCTGAAGCCTGAAAAATTGTGTTGTATTTTTTCAAACCATTCTTTTCTCCTCTAGATGGCCATATTAATCTTCCTTTCCAGCGTATTTATGTAGAACTCAGATGGCATTTTGTATAATGTTTTTAATAGTTAAATGAAAAAAGCTGTATACTCTGYAGGCTTTGTTGGTGTATTTTCATGATGGAATGTTCTGGTAGCCCTTTAGGTAATTCTGTGAAATTTAGGGGTTTCAATTTTCATTCACAAATGCCTTCTTACAGTCACTGTCTGACCTACTTTATGTATTTGTGTTGTGTGTTTGATGCATTTATATTTTTATATGTTTTACATATATATATATATTATTATTATTATTATTATATATATATAATGAAAAATAAATTACTACTGTGCTTGGATGCAAGTATTTCTACAAACTCTAAGCCATTGTAAATATATAGCTTTTGTAGTGAGCTCTTCATGGACAGGTTTAATTCCAGAGTATCGCTAAAGGAAAACYTAATTCAGTAGAAAATCAAGTTGATGACAAATGTCATCATTAAAAGTAAAACAGTACAGGAACTCACACCTGAAATTTTCAACATTTGCACAAAAGACTGGAAGTCTTTAATCAAAGAAAAGAGAAACGTGTGTAACTACAAGATGAGTGGCTCAGTCTCTGTGTTTAGGCCCAGAGTTCCGGGGTSAGCTCGAAGTTTGAAATCTTAATTTTGCCAATAATATTATTTTGGTCTTTCTAATGTTATCCAGTCAAGTAGGGATACTTAGTGAAGTGGTCTCTTTTTTCTGTTTTTCTAACAAAACTTCCTTTTACGTTTTTATAATTTGTATCCTGCTTCTTATATAATTTCCTACCGTTTCAAAGCATTGAGTTTGTAGTATGGTCTTTATGTGCTCCAGCTATTTGTAATATTTTGGAAGAGGGGATTTATATAGACTGTGATATTACACAGTTGATTCAGAAAATAAAGAATAAAAAACAAGGGAGTAAAAAAAAAGCAAGCAAAAATAACTCTGTAAGATATTTCTGCTAACAAAGATTTTATGATTTGAAATAGGAATCTGAATAAGGAAGTGTAAAAATTTTATGTTTAAAATAGGCATTWTTCTTTGCATTTCATAATTG